CGCGCCGCGCCTGGGGGCCTCGCCTGCCCGCTATGCCCTAATACGGTGCAGCGGCCGGGCGGCAAGGCGCGGCCGGCGGAAGGTTAAGTATAGCCCGGGCCGGGAATGCGGGGCAGGGGCGCTCCCTCCGCCCGCTGCGCCACGGGCATGGGGGGCCCCGCGCCGCCCCGCACGTGCAAAGCTGCTGTGCATTTTTTTTAAGGGAAAGAGACGATGCCACTCGAGCAGACCTGATAGCAGGGGTCGGCAGCCCGCATGCACGCGAGGCCGGGTGCCGAGCACGTCGCAGCCCGGGGTCTGAGCAGCTGCAGACAGGGTGCAGAACCGGCTCCGGGGCAGCGACTGCGCGCACACCTCGGGCGCTGGGACGGAGGGGGCTGGGGCAGCGCGGCCCGGCCATCCCCGCGCCTGCGGGCCCCTCGCAGCTCCCCGTCGTCTGCCTCTGGCCCGCCGGCCTCCGCGTGGGTCAAGGTTGGGGAGTTTTTGGCACGCTGGCCAAAACCCCTGCCCTATAGGCTTGATGCAGAGAAATGGGGGGGGGGGAGGCTTGCTTTTGTTATGCAGAAAGTCAGACCTGGGTGATGGTTATTTCTCTCCTTAATAACTAGACAAGGCTCTGAACCACTTCCCTAGCTGTTCAAGTCAGCGGGCGTAGCTTTGGACCCCCACTTTTACAGCAGCATCTGATTTACTGTGTTGACTTGCTATAACCTTTGCTGCCTGGCAATGTATGATGGGCCCTGCCACATGAAATGAAAGCTGGCTCGAAACCGGCTATCAAGTTGTTCCACTTTTTCAAGCACTAACTTTGTAGTTGGTTGGTTCTTTTTGTGCAGCTGGATGGACATTTTTGTCATGTGGTAATTACTTTGCATGGACGACTGGTCTAAATTTGTTGCGCAATTCACTGGTTCATTGCCTGATAATTACTTTGCATGTGGAGTCAGCCTACATTTATGGCGCAGTTCAATGATGAATTGCATAACGTAGATAACATGTGACAGGGCCTGTATGTTTGATAACTGAATTCCTCAGCCCTTGCTTTGTTGTGGATTTACTCCTAAGCGCTGGGCTCCTGCCGTAAATATTGAAGGGTCCTTAAACCATTTTAATTCTGTCATGTGCTGAGTTCTCTCTGTCTCTCTTCAAAGTGGAAAGTAGTTGAGGATAACTAAGGACCTTCTTCCACCTTACACTAAAAGCCACACAAACGTTAATCGGCTTAGTGTTGTTCTGCTTAGTGGAGCAGCCGTAGGTTAACATGAAAAACCATCTCTGACTATCCTTCACCTGCACAACTGTGACTTGTCAATAGGCTCGGTGGGCAGGGGCAGGAGCTGGGGGCAAGACCAGCTCACTGCTTCTGCCAGGCAGAGAGCACAGTACCCCTTTAGCACCTGGCTGCTGCAGTGTCTCCTGTTGCTGCACACACCAGCTCTGCTTCTACTGGTCAGAGCAAGTCCCTTTGAGCAGTGGTAGGAGGGGCTGTCATCGTTCCCCTCCCTCCCTGCTGCTGCTTAGACTGGCTTGCTCTGCCTGGCAGGAACAGTGAGCCAATTCAAGCAATGGCTGGCTGCTGCTGTTGCCTGGACTGGCTTGCTCGGCCTGGCAGGAGCAGAGTTGGTTTGCATGGTGGCAGGAACACCGTAGCCATCAGGTGCTCTGGGGCTGCTATGCTTGCTCTGCCCAATGTGCCTGGGGTGCAAGGTGCTGTGCCTACCCCGCTGTGCCCCAGTGTCCCTGCTTGGCCTGACTCAGGAGGGGCTACTGAGATGCTGGAGGACTTCAATTTGGGCAGAATAGCTGTGGAGAGTGGCCGCACCATAATGGAACAGGAACAAAATTAGGCAGATTAAAGATAAATTTGCCCTGGAGTGGTGTAATTGTTAAACTGAATAATGCATGCCCTAAACCACTTAGAAGGTGTTAATGTGCAGCCAATCCAGGTGTTAAGGGCTCCAGAAGCTGCCTAAAATTACTATGTAACAAGTCCCTAAGACTTACAGAATTGGGCTCCTTTAATTCTCCTGTATAGAGGGAAAATGAAGAGAAAAGAAATTATTTTGTAGTCTTTTCTAACAGATACAGGATACAAAGAAAGATAAATGCTACACGAAATACACATACAACATACACATAAGGCCGGTATGGCCAAATGTGTTCAGTTGACGGGACAGTACCTTGTGATAATTAAATTGTAGACAAAGTCTGGTTTATCAATAATCATACTAACCCTTTTTTATACATTTTATCTTTCCTGCTTGTAAAAAAGCATTGGAGGAACATTCAGAGTAAAAATGACAATTACATACCCAATTTCTACTGATTAAGTCCTATTTGAAAATCTTTTCCATGGCCATTTATCACATAAAGTGTTTTCCTTTATATACTGATTAAATGTCTGATATTTAGTGAAAACAGACTGATTGCTATATGCTGTACAAGAGACCACTCGCACTGAAGGTCAAATTATTGATCTATGGAAATGCTTTTTTACATAATATGTTTAAGCAAAATAACTTGTTTAGTTCAGATCTAACATGATTTGCTTCTGTGAAGATTTTGCTGTCACCAACCATGCTGTCATCCTCCTGCAAATCCTTTGCAACCTTTCTCTTATTACACAGCCTGCTATAAAATAAAAGACAATTTAGAGTCTGAGACAACCTAACCCTGAAGAAGTTGTGTATTGATGAAGTTCAAGTACTTCACTGATTTCAAATTGGCAGGAGTCCGCTTCAAACTTTACACTCTAGAAAAATGCACTCTGATTTTACACTACCCATTTAAAAACCCAAATTATATCAGTAGATGTTTTAAAGTGGCAATTTGTGTTTATTTCTCAGAAAGGAATTGACATTCACTTTTTTACTCCATCATTTTGAAATCTTGGCACTTAGGCTACATAGGGCTCACAGGTACAGAATAAATGAAAAGGCAGAGACTCCACATCCCCAGTGTATGGTGCAACTGAGGTCCATCTCAGCTTTGCATCACAAAAGGACAGCTTGGGGTGGGCAGCAGGAGGCCACTGAATCCAAACTAATCTCTCAAACTCTATGCAAAGTACCCTACTCCAGGTATATCAGAAACTCATCCACTATCCTAAGGTGGAACCATCAAGAGAGCACAGAGCTGCTACAGCCCCAGAAATTACATGATTGCCATGACTCCGTGTAGGTTACCAGGATTTGAGAATTGTCACTGAGATGTGATTCAGAAGGGAAAATAGGAAATTAATAATACTGAATTGTTTATATAGTTGGTTGTACATTTTTTTCTAATTGTTCTTTGTGTTTATTGGAAGGAGTGCTCATAATGGAATGCCAATTTTAAATGTTAAATCTACGAAGGCTAGGAAATTAAAAATCAATAGTCTCAATCTGTCATTGGGATTCTGCATTCAGTCATTTTGAAAAACTTGACCCAAGGATCTAACACACTGATTTTGCAAATAGCACTGTGTACACAATCCCATTGTTAAGGACCCACTTCCACAAAGTTTCTGGCAGGAGTGAGGTGCAACCTTCAAAATGTAGATCATAGTGTTTATCTTTCAGAATGTTTGAAGAAATCGGTACTTATTTGCAATCATTGTTTCCAGTTTCATGTAATAAGAGACCCCAAAATGATAGAAGTAAGAAAAATAATTAGAAATTTAAAATTATTTTTGAAGAAGTGCACATGTATCATTTTCTCTCTCTTTTACTAGGTGGTTGGTATTGGCTATTGCCATGGCACGATTTTATATGCAGAAAGGAACACACAAAGGCTTATATAGAAGCATTCAAAAGACACTTAAATTTTTCCAGACATTTGCTTTACTTGAGGTAAATTTTTAAATGCTACTGCTTGCTTGACTTGATTTTACTGTAGGAAAATATATCATTAACCTGCATTTAAAACTGAAAAGTTGGATCAGAATTTCCAGTTTTTCTAACCTTATTTTAAGGATTTTTTGGCAAAAGTGAATTGATGGATATTTTCTGCTTTATAGGTTAGTAAGTATTTGCCTAGGATACTATTTCTTATGTTTGTTTAAAAAATGCACAAGACTTTCTTGTTTTTCATGTGATAATATTTTATGTTTCTAATAATTCTACTTGAACCCCCTCAAAACTAGTGAAAGGTGTAAGAACATAAGAAGTGCAATACTGGGTCCACCCATAAAGTCCCAGGACCACCTAGTCAACCTCCTCTTGGCACTAGCCAAGCTAGTGGTCAGTCTCACCAGGAAGGAGGCTCTGGACAGGAAGATACCCGACGACTGCAGGGACACTTTTCTGTCCCTTGGCTGTTCACGTCTTTACACAGGGTTTCACTGGGCAGTGTCCACTGGCTCCTTGGACTCATTTGAGGGCCAGTGGGCACTCTCTGGTGTATATTTTCACATTATAAATGCATTCTATTTGCAAGAGACAGAAAAATTGTAAGTGAATCTGTTTTATATATGGCTAATGGAAACATCTTTTAAAATTAATAAAGAGATTTATGTATCCAAAATGGTTTGGCCCAAATTCCACTTCATCTTTAGATGGTAAGTGGCATTTACATGGCTAACTTAGCTGCGTAGGTGGCGTTTTAGACTACTTATATGGATTTTAGATCTTCTTCCAGCCTGAAAAGGCCTTTGTACAAGTCCTAAAGAGAGGGGGAGTAGGAGCCTCCCACCTTTCAATCTCCTGGTTAAGGCACTTGCCTTGGCATTGCTCAGACGTGGCATAGGTCACTCTCTAGCCCTTCTCTTCAATTTGGTCCATTGGGCAGCTATGAGTGGAAGATACATGAAGCTAGAAGCACAGCAACACAGAGGGAGTGTGGCTCAGTGAAATGACAGTGGGCCTGGAAAAGTAGGGCCCTGGATTCTGGTGGCTGCTCTTGCCCTAGACAGTGTTTCGGCATTTTGAACTTAATGGTCATTGGATAAAACAGATAATTGGCAATGGGCTAGTTCTTGCCCTGCTGTGGTGTGTAACAGTAGGAGCCATTGGATTTGGATCTCTCATAAATTCTGACCAGGATATGATATTGTGTGTGAAACTGAGGAGTAATTCTGCTGAAATTGAAGAATAAACTGTAAGTATATGAAAAGCAGCCTTATTATATGAAAGTGCATTTATTATATGAAAGTACAACAAATAAGTTACTCCTGATTTAGTTTTAACACAAATCAAAGGCTTGATTGTATGAGAAGCGAATACAAAAATTCAGGGCACTTAGCTCTTCTTAGGAATGAGCTCTAAGGTATTAACTTTAACCAAGCTTAGATTTACGTTAACAGCAGTGATGCCTGTATTTGCAAACAGTAAACTAGTCTTGGATCAGGAATTTTTAACATGTACTTATTTTTATTTGCAGGTAGTCCACTGTGCAGTTGGTGAGTCTTTTGTTTTAATATCTCACATGACTGATGGAAACAGTGAATTATGGGACAGAGATGACATATTTCTCTTTTTAAGGAATAGTTCGCACCTCTGTGCTTGTGACTGGGGTCCAAGTGAGTTCAAGAATCTTCATGGTGTGGTTTATTACACATAGCATAAAACAGGTATGTTTATCAGTGAACTGTTTTTTTTCTCTTTACAGGAAAGGCCTCTTTATAAATACAGTGCTTGTTTTAGTAGGAGGAATTATTTCACAAGTAATAAGGTCTGGTAAGTTCTTCTAGCAAGCAGCTGTCATGCATTTCTGAATTGTTAGGATGGAGCCTATGGTTTGTATATAATTTTCCTTATACGCAGGGAACTGGGGCTTGAAAATAGTTATGCCTCTCCAGAGGCATTTGAGTTGGATTGGATTGGTGCCAGATTTGGTCCGTCTGTCAAGCACGATCAAAGACTAGAGCTCTTCTGTTCATCACCAAATGTACCATTCTGTCATCGATTCCACTTTGAAGAGGAAATTAAAATTAGCATATGTTGAATGGTCTGAGCGGAAATGATTTTGAAACTGAATGTATCTACAGTTTATATAAATCCTTCTCAAGACTACTAAATTAATACAATATTAAAATTATATATATATTGTACACAGTATGCTACTGAGACTTAAAAAAAATAGAAAAAATATCATGATTTCTCCACTGGGCCCTACAGTTTATATTTATTTGTTTGACTTTAGGTGATAGCATAGGTCCTATTGGTTTGTTAGCTACAGGAGAAATGAGTTGAGGATTCACAAACAGTATATTAGGACTTACAGTCTAGTTTCTCTGAGTTGTGTTTTTTTTGCAGGGCTTGAAATTCCTATGTTCTAAATGTAAGTATTGAGTAACAAATCCCCAAATGTGGGTCTGTGCTCCTATGTATGTGACTTGAGTCAGAACTTTCCTAGCTCAAAGTACTGAGCCATTAAACTGTCTCACCAGCAGATGGCACATGCCTGTCTGCTGAAGAGGTGTACTAGCCAGTAACTGCCTCAGTTTCCTAAGTGTTTTACTTCTAGAACAAAAAAGAAAAACAAATGTCCTAATCCCCAACAGTTAGTAGTTCACTGTTTACACTGAGTACATCCAAGTAGGGCACATCTCTGTTTCTTGTCATTCATTCTGCTTTTATTTGAAATTTATTAAACTTTAAGAGTATCCATTCAGTTCTCTGTTTCTCTCATTTCCAGTAAGTCAAACTGTGTCCAAGGAAATCATATCTTAATGTTTGTCTGAGTGTATTTCTCACTGTTATTTCTTAGCATGCTTTAATGTTCAGGGTCATGTTGAGGTGACTAGAGACATGTCAGTGATGATAGCCAGCTTCAGGCCTTAGTACTTGACTGGCAGATTTGTAAGGCAACCACACGGAATTCTCTACATACTTAATTCAAAACATTTTCACTTGGATTTAGTTTTGTAACATGAATCCAGATATGGGCTATCAGAGCAGGCCTATCTATCTGCTTCAGGTTAAAAGCAATTTAATTCTTTTCTTCTCCTCCATTCTGTATATATTCAACGTCTTTGTACTTTGGTTTGTTGTTTTTTTGCTTTTGTGGCTGTTGTGGGATGTAACATAATCGTCTCATTTACAAAAAAAAATCTTTTTTCAGTCTTGCACATTTAGGGCCTGATTTTCTGAGATGATGAACATTTGCATCGCTCCTTGACTTAAGACAGAGTTACAAGCAGGGCTGTCCCTTGCGGGGAGGACGGGGGGCAAATCAGGGTGACCACCCCAGGCCCCACACTTTGTGGTGCCCTGCGGACAATGACATACAGGCCCTGAGGGTGCCACCCATCTGTCCAGCCTCTTGCCACCCCCTCTCACTCCGCGCTCCACCCACTCGTCACCCCCACGTCCCCTGCACAGGCTGATATGCCCCGGGCCTTGCACACCCGTAGAGTCGGCTCTGGTTATGAGTGTTCAACATCTTTGAAAAGCTATAAACCTTTGTCACCTTCTTGCAATTTGTTGTAAACAATGTTTCCCTTTTCTGTGTTTTTAACAACGTTTGTGTTACTTTATTTTATTTCACAGACATCCCTGGAGCTTTTCAGCCTTCAGGCATGGAAGTCTATTACAAAATTCCTTCCCTTTTAAAGAAAGGAAAATTACTTGCGTGTAACTCTTCTTCTCAGAAGGTAGTATTTATAATAGATCCCCCTCCACCTTCTTTAAAGAGTTGGGGACTTTTTTGTTTGTTTTAATTAAAATGAAAAGGCTCTAATGTTCTAGAGCAGCAGGTAGATACACTACCTACTGATGAGGCAGTTTAATGACTCAGAAATTTAATCTATAGCACTGCAAATCAGTAGATACAGCCACAGCTCCTGTTCTTCCCACTACTTCTCAGCCTTTGATCCAACTTCTAGTTGCCTTATCATTTTGTCGCTACCTGAAAGCAACAAGGAGATCACCCTGATCTCCTCCTTCAAGGTTTCACTTTGTTACCTAGGAATTCCATGAAACAAAATGGAATTGTCTAGTATAGGAGAAAGATTTGCATGAGAGGGGGAAGAGAAAGCCACAACAGACTATGGCCTAGGCAAAAATAAGAGGCCAGGCAAGAAGCCAGTGGGTATTGAGATGTAAAGCCAGACTAGTCCAATTTTAAAAATGGAAAGAAAACATTGTATATCATTTTTTGAGAATAAATGCAAACAAATGGACCAATAATAATAATAATAATAATAATAATAATAATAAAAAGGAGAGGGAGAAAAAATTGAATTGGCAGATGTAGGATAAGGAAAAGAAAGCATGCACTAGATAAATGGAAATATTTTGATATATTTAAAATTGTTGAAGTCAGCCTTTACATATTATCTAGTTTCCAGGATGTTGGTGAATATAATTTAAAATTTAATTTGGTGATGATTTTAAAATAATTTTACACTAGTTTTCTTCTCTTCGAAATGTAAATTATATTCCAAATGTCTTAAGCAAAAGTCTATTACAAATTGCATAGAAAAGAAATCTAAAGGTGAAGAAAATGTTGGTTCTTTATACTTCTGCAGATCCAGAATGAGGAGAGCGTTATTCTTTTTCTGGTCGTTTGGACTGTGACAGAGATTACTCGATATTCCTTCTACACATTCAGCCTGCTCAACCATTTGCCATACTTCATTAAATGGGCCAGGTGGAGATGTCTTGCAGTTTAGTTCCTCATAGTTCTGTGCATGTTAATTTCATGCATGCTGAGCTAACACACAGGAGAACAGATTTGTGAGCTTTGGCTATGTCCGTAGAATGTTGTTGGTTGCTTTACATATTTAGGAATATTGTGATTTGGTTTAAAATGTAAAAGAGTTTTTTCTTCAGATGGTTGAATGTGATTTGTGCTTTGATTTTTATGTTTTATGGTTCAGTAACTATTTCCATTTACTCTGACCTCTTTTCCTGTGCATTTGGGATCATCTTTTATTTTAATTAAATTTAAGTTGCATTTTGAATACAACAGTAAATGATCTTTAAAAATCATAGAAAAAAAATGTATCATTTAAGTCTATTTAGTAATGAAGAAAATCCTATTGTTGCCTTTAGTGGCCCAAGTCATGGAGATTCATCCATGTGTATTGTGAGTGTTGGCTACAATGCGAGTACTTGCTGTACATGAAATTAAGCATGTGCATGAGACTTTGCAGGACTGGGACCTATTGAATTACAGGATGTTATGGGCTCTCAGCACTATGCTATTACCCTTACTCTTTAATCAAATTACAATTTTATTGGAGATTTGCAGAAGCCTTAATTGACAATTTATTTAGTCAAAATTAGAATGCGTTCTTTACAGAACAGGCATAGCGTGAGATAATAAAACTTGAGATGCGTTGCTATATCCAAAGTAGATTACTTAGGTTGGGCATTCATCATGAAACCTAATTAGATTAATTGCATAGTTATTGTTTGAAAGATACAGTCAAAACAGACTCATATTGTGAAGGCAGATTATTTTGCATTCATTTGTTCAAAAGGGTGTTTTGTTTATTTTGCTTTATTTTTGTTTTGTAGACAAAACAGTTCTGATGCTTCTAATACACTTCTTTGATGTGGCTGATATTTATGTCCATTAGAATACATTATCTTTCTGCTCATACCGTATGTGGTAGGTTTTGGCATGTTTAAGCACTAAATGCTGAAGTTAAAAAATAATCAGTTAAAGATCTTCGATCATTAACTGAATATTTATTGAAGCTAAAATATAGAAACGTGAAAAACATCAAACTATCAGAAACTCTTAGTAGTGCCTACCTAAGACATCTTAAATGGGAGGGAAAAAACCTACAGGTTATAAGGCAGTAGGAAAATGAGCCATTCTGACCACAGCACTCTATCTATGAGTGAAATATACCGCACTATAACATACTTGAAAATTTGCTCTTTTGCACTTATTTCTCCAAGACCTCTCATTGGGATTTGTGAGCACAAATTCTCTGCCTTATGTGGAGCTGAACCTTAGTTTGCCATTGGTGAACTTGTTCTTTTTTCTCCTTTTCAATCCATATACATATCTATTAACATACATACACACACCGTAATAAAGTGTCATTAATGCTTTGGGATCACTAACTTTCTTTTTTATTACAAACACTTTGTCCATATTAGATCTACCTAAGCTTTAGTTCAAAACTCCTTATGGTGAGTTTGTTTCTATTCTGCATACAGACAAGCTCTGTGTTGGTTTCTAACTTAATCTGTTCCAGCTGACCTATGAGCTCCTCAAGTCCAGAGGTTCCTAAGAGGGTTTCAGGTTCAGTTGCTGCCATTTTATAACTCCTCTGTTTTGGTCATGGAATGCACATTCTCCATTTCTTTCAGACCTTGTGAAGCATGTTGCATTGCTTTATGCAGGGTAAACTTAAGAAACCAGTACTTTATGAATGATTGCACCTTATCTTGCATGGTAACTCTTCAAAATACTGTGGATTCAGTTTTTCTTTTCTAATATGTATGTGGTAAATGTTATTTAATGCAGTTACTAACTTTAACAGGATGCCTTTATTTTATTATTTATTTGGGAATTGATTTGCTTGTTCCCAAATGGAATGTTTGCACTCAGATATTTTTTCATTTATGTTAATGGTAGATACAGTACTTGTTTACATTCCCCATATGGCAAAGGAAGGAACAAGCCACTGAGGTTTTTAAAGATTTCCTTAACTTCAGTGTATTTATAACGGGAATAGGACATGCATGGGTTGTGGCAAAGATATGTATTCATACTTACTGTTAATCCAAGCCTGCTCTCAGACTAGACAACAGCAAAAAGAGCAGGCTCCAAAAATCAACCAAAGATTATTAGACCTTACAAATCTGTTCTACAATTTTGAATGTTCAACCTTAACGTTAGAATAACTTCAGGACGTTTGACAGTTCTCTAGTCTAAAGGTGAGGGTTATATTGTTGTAGCGCTGCTCGGATCAAGTAAACCTCTGCTTATTTGTACCAGCTGAATATCTGCCTGGCACATGTTTTTTTGGTACAGGAAACTACTGTTGTTCAGTGCTGTGCCACTAATATTCGCAAGAAGAAATTTTAATCTTCCAGTACTTCTTGCAAGAAATTTTTTTTTTTTCCTGTAGATACAATTTTTTTATCATCTTGTATCCTGTTGGAGTTGCTGGTGAACTGCTAACTATTTATGCTGCACTACCATATGTGAAGAAAACAGGCATGTTTTCACTGAGACTTCCCAACAAGTATAATGTCTCTTTTGACTACTACTACTTCCTTATTATTATCATGCTCTCCTATATACCATGTAAGTATTATGCAATAATATTGTTAACTCAGTAGCGAATTTTAGGCAGAGACCAGATGAAATTTTCTGTACTAGTGTCTGCCTCAGGCTGAACAGATTTGGAAACTTTTAATGAAAATTGTGTAATTTTTTCCCAACAAAGTTAAGGAAAAATGTATTTTTGCCCACATAATAAAAACAATCCGATCACCTGGGGGTACGCAGACCAGTCCTAGGGGGTATGCACAGGCAGGTGAGAATGGAGCGCTGCCACCTCCCAGGAGCAGGACTGGAGCAAGGTAGGGGCAGCAGCGCCCTTCTACAGCATGGGAAGCTTGCGTGCAGTGTCCACCACCTCCATACACCAGCCCAGTGAACTTCCCTGCCCTGCCCCAGCCCTGCTTCTGGGAGGTGGTGGTGCTCCGTTCCCACCTGCCCGTGCACCATCTCCACCTCCCTGCTTTGTGTCTGGTCGTGACACCCTTCTCTCTCCCCCCGCCCGCGGCTCGGTGTCTGGCTGCCAGGAAAACTAAGAAAGTTTGAAAACCCCTGTTTTAGAGTGAAGACTTGAAAGTTGACCTTAGTTTGTAGCAGGCAAATTGGTTAAAAGCAGAATAACTAAATACTTCGAGGATCATGATGTAATAGGATTGTACTAAGGAATTCGGCAAAGGCAAATCAGCTCACTAATCCTGGGCTCCTTTGAATGCGTTGGGAAAATTTGTTGTTAAAAGAGAATTGACACAATTTATGTAGGTTTCCAGAAGGCCTTTACCTCTCACCCTGTGAGTGCTTAACTTCTGTAGTAGCCTCTTGTGTAGGAATTTGGCAAATTCTCACAGGAAAAGTAGTTGAAAAGACTGAGATTATTTATTTTAGAAATGGAATGAACAAAGCACAAGATAAACAGATATAAAAATGACTGTTATAGAAAAGATAAATAGAGAGCTTCTGCTCTCCCTGTTTTATAATATAAGAACAAGGGGGCATTCAAAGAATTAAATGATAGCAAGCTCAAAATTGATAAAGGAAAATATTCCTTTCCACAACATGCAATTAAACTGTGGGGCTGACTTCCACAGGAAGTTAATGAGGCCAAGAAATTAACAAGATTCAAAAATAGATTGCATAAATTAGATATTTGTAGAGAATAATTAGAGATATTGTAATAGATATAACAACAAATGTGGAAAGGATTAAGCCTCTTTCTTTAGAGTTCAGGACAGTCTTTAACTATTAAAGGTGAGGATCAGACTGTAGGCAGAGCACAGATTATCTGAAGGGCTCTTGAACCTTCTTCTGAATGTAATTCGTATGAGCCACTATCAGAGAGAGAACTTGGGTCTGATCCAGGATGCTGATTGCTATGTTCCTACGTGCTGCAGTTTTTCTTAGTGACTAGTCTGCAGAGGATAAGAGGCTATTACTGCTATCAGTTGCACCATTAGCTCAAGTGACAGAAGTCTGGGCCTTGCCTCATGCTGACTCCTCATGTAGGGGTTAGTGTGATTCCAGGATGGGATTTCAGGCACAGGGGGGTCTGTTTACTTAAAAATGAAAAAACTGCAAAAATAAGTTAGATTAAAAAACATTATAGTCAGAAAATTGGTCCCTTTGATATATAATTTGTATAATGCAGTGGGTTGTTTTTTTCAAAAAACCCTTGATAATAGGCTCATTAATCACTGATTTTTTTAAAAAATTTCCCCCATAGTCTTTAACTGCATGCTATTTTTCCCTCATGCCTTTGGGTGGACTGTCCTGAATGAATCAGGGTTGTGTAGTAAAGGAATCTGGCATCTTTCAGGGCAAGTCTACAAGGATTTTTCCTGATCCCAGCTGTGCTGCAGATAAAATAAGCCCCACCCAGTTGTTCCAAGCCTCTTGTGTCTGCAGCAGACCCAGGGTCATGAAAAAGGCCATATAAACATGTCCTGAAACTTGCTTTAGTCTATTGCAAAAGTTGGAAAGTGGGTAGTAACTGAGACAGGGCACTTCAAGAAGAGGAAAGATTGTCTTGAGCTTAAAGTAGTTGGATGGTATCCTAGAGAATAGGATTTGTTTCCTGCCTTTGCCATAGAGTTCATATATGATGCTGGGCAGGTCACTAAACCTGGCTTTTTTGTAGGTGTCATCTCATTTTCTTGGTGCTACCTGAGAAACCAACAGCCTGATCTACAGAAATAAGGAACATTCATAACTGCAACTAAAGTGAAGAGTTGTCCATTGAACATAAAAAACCAGCCATGAAGGGTAGATCTGTCTGGTCACACAACTACTCTAGGGAGCACTATAATGAGACTCCATGCCTACTCCACACATGCTACACCGTAGAATTGATGTAGTGTGTGGCTGTGCGCATATGTCAGTGAGATCTCTGTTTCAGGATTCCTTATTGGTGTGCAGAAAGTATTACATTCAGGGCAGCTACATTACATCCATTAAGGGTGTAGCATGCAGAGCTGGCAAACCAGGTACCAGCACAGCTCTTTGATAGTAAAAGAAAAGACGCTCTGAAAAATTCATAGGCACTTATGTCACAGTTGGCCTTAATCTTTCTATGCTGAATTTCTTGGTTCCCTTTGGTAAAACAGGAATAGTAACATAAAATCAGTTTGCCTGACATGGATGTTGTGACGATAATTCATTAATGTTTGTGAAGTTCTCAGACTGCAGTGATAAATGCCACAGAGAACCTCAAAGGGCTGTAAAAATGAGAGAGTACCACAATCATTCCTGTAGGGCCAAAAGGGAGTAATTTTGCATTTTTGTCTCAGCACTGACCTATATAGGCCTTCCTTGGCCCAAATCCTGAAACACATGGAACTCTCCACAGGGCCATACACACTGCTGAAAAAATAATTCATTTCCCCAAAGGATAGGGAGGTCCACGTAGAGACACACATGCATCCTAACATCTCTGTAGCTGGTGATAATTTGCCATAAGCAACCTGCTATTATATGCTATACCTGGCTGTAGGGTTGTGTCCCATAAACTTCTCAGGGTAATTTTCTACAGTTAGAAATATATTTCTTTGTCATGTGATTTGTTATTTCCTCCCCACCTTCCTAATTTGTTATCTTTTATTTTTTGATTTAGTGTTTCCACAACTGTACTTGCATATGTTGCGACAGAGAAGAAAGGTGCTTCATGGAGAAGTGATTATAGAAAAGGATGATTAAACCAACCTTTTTAACTACGGTGCTTTTTAAAGAATATCAAGGATTAAAAACAAAAAACTTCATGTGATCTTTTTGAGTCCACATTTTAAATCATGGAACAAGAATAAATAGCTGTGCACGAAATACCATGGATTGTATTATTTTGTAAAAATTAATATATCTTCAGACTGTGTGTTTCGTCCTTGGTTTCACCTTTTGGTTCATTTCGTCTCTTCGTGTCTTCAGACAAACTATTTTCTTCCTTATTTTTTATATAAGGACATTAATAAATAGTCAGCATATTGAATATTTGCTAAATTGCTTTCTGTTAAGAAACCTTTTGTAGTTGGAATTAAAAAGGTTTGAGCTATATTGTTGAGAATTCTAGGAAACAGATCATTCATAAATCAGGTTTTGTTTTTTTCATAGGATAGGTGGCTTGCATAGGACAGGTGAAATTGTATCCTTCATTATTTTAAAAATGAAAATGACCTCATTTTTACCAATATTCACAAATGATAATTTAGTGTATTATAAGTCTTATGAGAAAACACTGCTAAAAGTAGTCAGTTTAAACCAAAGCTGAGATATAATTACTAAGCATCTAATTTTGCCACCCTTTCTCATATTAGTACTTTTTTTTAACTATCCTGTAGTAATTGCCAAACTGCTGTAGAGCATCAGTATGGATATTAGAATCAGACCTTTCAGTAGGCCTGATCCTAAAGTTGGATTCTGCATGTGTGCAGAATTTGTTACCAAATTCAGTTGTGGAGCCAGGGCTGCAGTCTTTTAATATTAGGTTTTTATCTTTGAAGAATCATAGAATAATTTTAAAGCAGTCAACCATTTGGTGCCCATGCAAATGTAGGGCTGCATACTTTTAATATGCAGTTGTCAAAGGTAATTAAAAATAGTAGATGGTATTTACTGGGCAAAAAGGAAAATGATATGGAGGAGTAATATAGATGTACCTACATTTTGCCCATTAAAGGGCCTATATTGGGGGTTTTATTTGTATTTTCGTTTGTTCTGTGAACTGAAACTGCTTATAAGTCTGTTCTGTATTCTAGGTTTAGAATAAAAAAGGGAAAGTAAATGTGGACCTACATACAAAAACTAGTGATGACAAAACCCTTTATTTATTTTGATTAATCAAATGGGATAAAAATAGAAGTTATCATTTTTTTAAAAATACTTGATGTGTAAATTACATTTTGAATCATCCCATTATGCAATTATAATTGCTCCTTCAATAAATTGTTACCTCTTCATAATGTAATCAGCGAACAGTTTTGGATCTGGTCCTGTTTAACATCTTTAATAAGTTAAAAAAAGGTTTGAACAACACATTAATGATGATCATGGATCATATGAAAGGGGGTGAACACCATCATGGACATAAAGATAATACAAAGAAGTCTATATATGTTCAAAATGTGGTCAGAAGTTTAAAACAAGATTCAACCTGGAAGGTGTGTAGAGGGACATGGGGGAAGCAAGTTGTTATAAATAAAGAAATTTAGATATTCAATAAGATGGAGAAATTTGGAAAGCAAAAATATTGGAAGAAGATTAAGCAGACAGCAAATTAGATACTTATTCACAACTGATGTGGCACCCAAAAAAAGACAAGTTCAAGGTTAGGTGTATTTGCAGAAGTGTCACATCTAACAACAGGGAACTGGGTGACTGCTAAAATCCCACCTAAAATATTCTTCTAAGTTCTGCATGCCTCACAAGCAAAGTGCAGAGGATTTTTGGGTGGAGCAGATACCAGCAACACAAATAAATTTAATACTCAGGAATAAGAAATAGGAAGGATTGACTTAAAGTCTTTAAATATGCATAGCTTGGTTCTGTGAGAACTATTTGAGGAGGAGGAATTATTGTAATGAGAGAAGCAGATGTAACCGAGTCATATGGAATAAGAAAAAGAACATACAGAGTAAGTATCAGGTCAGGTTTTGACCATCAACTCAATCGGGCTATAAAGTAATACTACAAGGCAAGTTATGGCAGCTCCATTTCACAGGACATTTAAAGCTAGATTTGATTGGATACTAGAAGAGGTTTAGGTTGCCTAGTTCAACCTGCAACCTCAAAGGTGGCCTCCATTTTTAATTTCTATGATGCTTTGATAACACACTTGTATTTTTACAAAGTCTGGAAACATCTTCCTTGTACATCTAACGTTTGAACGAAGAAATTTATTACATCCCCAGCACAAGTTTCCAGTGTTATGCCTTGGGCTTGTCATATTTATCTATTACATGTGAACTACCTTCCTTTTAAATGACTGGTGTACAGTGGATGCGACATGAAATCCTAGTATTTTTTTGTTTCAAAGTGGTATAGTCTTCACTTTTTTTAGGCAACGTATTAATTCAAGGTGCTCTAAGTTAAGTCATTAAAATACTTGTTTAATTCATATGAAACTGAAATTGTTTAATGTATTAAATATACATCATACTTACAGTCTTGATTCACAAAATATTTACACATGCAATACCTGTTCGGGCTAAAGGTTTTATCTGTTAAGTGTTTTTTTTCATATTTTAAGCAATGGATGCAATTGTTCATATAAACTTCTCAGTTTGCATATTGTTCCATATGGAGCATCCAGGCAGCTTTTAACTATGTATTTCTTAATTAGTAAGTAAAAATATTTTATGGAATATGAAAGAATAAGATCAGGTTTTGTTTAATGATAGTTTAGTCTCTTCTCATTGTGGTGTCAGCTCACTGAAGCCTATGACTATCAATTTGTTTGAAATGTACTGAATATTCCAAAGGCCTGATCCTGCAACACTTACTCATGTGAGCTTGTCCCAAGGAGACTATTCCTATGAGTACAAGTTGAAGGGCTGACCTCAACCACTGTATTATTTATGTTGTATTTGTATTGTGTTCAGTTTGAGGATATCATGCAACATACATATAACTGTTGTAAGCATTTTGATACTCTTTTGTAATGCAACACAAACTAATACAATGCCATGTATTGCAATCATGATTTCTAGTTTGCATAAAAACAACAATGTGCTTAGTCCTGAATAATCATAATACACAAACAAGAAAAGCCATAAAGTGATTTACAATAGCAGTAAAATCTTACTGAACTGCATTTCAATAAACTGTGAATTCATGCTGAAAATGACTACTTGGGTCTGAATTTACTGATTCACAGAGTAGGGAGACTTTGGTGAAGACTAGTATGGGTGATGGCATCCTACAAAAATATTTTGAATGTTTTCTCGTATTTGATAACAATCTTCAAATTTCTGAAGAACATTACAAAGAGGTTGGAGATGGGCTTTTCTCTGGCTGTAGGGGACAGAACTAGGAGCGGTTGTTACTTTAAATTGCCAATTGCTCAAATCAAGAGTGAAACCTTATGAAGGTGCAAAATGCCATGTTTATTGATTACATGAAGCAGATACATAAGCTTGGACACACCAGTCATACAAACAGACATACTCAAGCACACATACAAATAGACATAGACAGACATACAGACAAAAACACTCCAGTAAGATGTTATAGTTACCAGCAGAAGTTACTCAGTGTTAGCACTGGGTGGCCAGTCCAGGCTCATTGAGGGTGATGGGAGTGGGGGTGAACAGATGCGCCTGTGCTACAGGAGGTTGCAGAGAATGGATTCCCCATCATGGCTTGTCTGCGTCTTACTTCTATAGCGATTTCAAGTCTTTGTTCAGCATTGGGGTTTTTCCATGCTCAGTTTTTAATTAGAGGTTGTTTCTTATCCATCTGGTTATCTCGACTTGAGGTTATTCCAGTAAAGTTGGTATCTCAGAGTTGGTATTTCAATCTTGAAGCATTGTGTAGCTGGTATCTCTGCCTTTGAAGCATTGTGTAGTTCAAATGGCAGGATATAGAAAATTCCTTCTTCTCACTATCTTCTTTGCACCTAATCACAGACGAGTTCTTCAGCCATTCATTAATTAGCTTAATTAGTTTATTGTCTGGTAGCTCATACATTGGTGCCTTGTTGCTTACACATTCATTTAAATCTTCTGTTTTCATGCAAATAATTACCATTCTTTCACCATTCACCATCTCACACACACCCATGTACGCAGGGCATACACAGTTCATTTACTCATGTCAAGTGGGAAACAAGCATAAAATGAAGTTTTAGTTCTTCATAAAAGACAAAAATAAAGCTAATACAATCATAGGTTTATCAACTCAATACTATTATCATTTAAGCATAATAACTAATATGCAAAAATTCATACTACATGGTGGCCACAGGCTTCAGCGTGAGAAGTATAGGTTGGAGATTGAGAAGAATTGTTTGATTATAAGTGTAGTCAAGCACTGGAACAGGGCACCTAAGGAAGTTGTAGCATCTCCATTCCTGGTAATTTTCAAGAGGAGGTTAGACCGATACTTGGCTCAGGTGGTTTAATCAGGGATGATCCTACCTTGAGCAGAGAGCTAGACTTGATGACTCATGAGGACCCTTCTAGCTCTACTTTCCTATGATTCTGTTGTTTTTTTGCTCTTGAAATATTTAGTTGAAATTGGAAAAAAAAATCAGTCTGCTCTTTCTTAATATCTTCTGTTGTCAAGTAAGAACTTTGAAATCCTGACTCAGCCGAAGTCATTGGTGAAACTATTAATTTTAACAGAGCCAGGACTTTACCATATATATTTTTAGTTCAAAATTAGCACAATTTCATATTTATAACATAACGAAATAGATAACTAATTTATTCCCTGGCATATACAAGTAATATATAAAAAGCAAGTACTATTTTTGGGGTGCTATTTCTTTCCTATCTGATTTTGGTATATTGTCCATTTTGTAAGCCCTGCTGTAGTATTCACAAATGTTTTATGCTGTTTTGAGCATCTTTATTATGAAATGCTAGGACTATATACTCATGCCTGTGAGCAACAATGCTCGTGAGCATCTTTATATTGCATCTGTTAAACTGGTCTTATGAATTTCAACTCTTTCATCATACAGCTTTATTAAAGGTGCTAATATTGGACCTGAACCAGTAACGTTTATTTGTGAGGAGACCTTATGCACACAGGAACATTGGCCCTGGACTTCTCAATCCATCAAGTTCAGTCCTCTACTAACATAGGCAAACATGTCATATAACATTTTTCATACATTTGCCAAGCTGCAACCTGAGAGTAGTTAGAATTTTTACTGTTGCTGCTCTGACTGGAAGCACTATTCTAGAACAGACAACATGAGAAATGCCATTTAACATTTCAGCCTGTGCCTAAAGGTCACATCCTGAGATCAGAGCAAAGCTCACATAAAAGAACGTGACTGAGAAATGGAATTCTCATCTCTAATGGCCCAAGGTGGTCATTACAAGTCATTACGAAGAAGAGCTGACAGCTCATTCTCCCATTTATTACACAGGGTTTTAAGTAAGGGCTCTATCAACTTAAGGGATTGTCTAAAATAGACTCTGTCCCAGCCATAGAGACCAGCTGGAGAGATCTCCTTCCATGGGTCCTGCAATCTGTTGTATTACTGATTTAGGGCTTCTTGGCCTTAGATTTCTTTCAAAGTATTAATATGCTAACACAGGTATACCTTACTACCATAAATAGTTCAGTTCAACATTAATTATCCATAGAGAACTTGTGCAACATGCTGCTTCTACTAATTTTCATTAAATTACATTACATGTGACCCAACGTCACCTTAATGAATAAGCTGCAATGCATATTTCTCAAGGAAAAACATGCAAGATTTTCTGTGATGACAAGAACATACCTCCCTTTATCAACAACATAAATACGGCAACATCATGCCTATTCATTGCAACTGCTCTCCTTCTATTGTGTTCTTCAAAGTCGTTTACTTAAGTGCTGATTACCATTCAGATGCTATTACGAACTCATTAACAAAAATCTACGATACAAAAGAAACATTCATTTTTGATGATTTGGATTCTCAACTTTCCTTTGGCATATTGGGCACATCTACACATGGTTGTATGGCGCCATTGTTACTGCACCATCATTTAGTACTTCCAAAAGGAAGTACTTTGGAAGTACTAACTTTTGGAAGTACTAAATGACAGTGTAGTAACAGCCCATACTGCTCTGTGCTGGCCACATATGGTTATTTTTAGCTGCTATGTTGCCATAGCAGTGCGCTATAATTAGGGAGCGCATTGCTACAGTGACAGAGCTGTGGCATCATGGTTTTTGCCCATCAACAATACATCACTGTAGCATGCTGCTACAGTAACATAGCGCCACATGTAGATGCGCCCACTTTCACCTAGTAACACTAGAGTAAGTGAGGTAGACTAGAGAATAAAGTTTTGCAAAGGTTAGGATCTCAGGTAGACAAATTGGCTGCAGTTAAAGATTAGTTAAAATATTTATTTGAAAGTTCAAATTGTATTTGTAAGCATGGGATTGTGACAGGATCAGTCTTGGGGTGGCTGTGACATCCCCTGATGTCCACATGGTTCCTGCCACACTCTGACTCCTTAGGTACCCCTCTTTTCCTCTCATGTGCCATGTCTTGGTGGAATTATTTGTTTATGAAAAGGAAGGCTGCCCCAGGGTCCTAGAGCAAGCCCTTTCTATTCTGCAGTCAGCAGGTCCCTTCTGGGCCCAGCCAGTTCCTGTCCTGTCCCCATGTGTGCTCCAGGGCACTGGTTGCCTTAAGTGCTATTTGTGGTCTCCTTCTGCCCCTACAGCCATGCCTCTCAGATGTTACCAGTTATCACTTCAGTGGGGCATCTTGCCTCCAGTACAATATCAGGCTTCATCAGGCTTCCACGTCTTTGTTGGGGCCTTGGCCTTCCTGACTTCCAGCCCCTTCCCTCTAGCTGGGCCCCTTAGCCTAGGCCCACTGCCCCAGACCTCAGTTTATGGGCTCCAGCACCTATCTCTTAAGCTATGGGCCCCTGGCCCTGGTTTTCACCCCTTTCAGGCTCTGGCCCTAGGCCTCCTGGCTTCAGGCCATCCCTATTGACTTTCCTGACTTAGGCTTTGATCCTCCTGGGTTCTGTCTGTCTGTGTTTTGAGCCCTGACCCCTGGCATGGCTCAAAACTTCATGTGCCCCTCAGGCAGCTCTGTGGTTCCTCATCAACCCTTAAAGCCACACCCAGTCCACCAGTATTGAACAAATACTTCCAGACTCTTTTTATTATAACATCCCAGGTTGGTTTCATCTTTAAAGAGGAAGTCTGTGAGTTTTTCATATTTGCAAGACTTACTTTCTAGTTTTAGGTCTGTGACAAATTCTTACAGTATTTCCTTTTCCTGTTGTGTTCTCATCCTGAATAATATTTATCTCCCATAAGTAACATTTTCTAGGAACACAATGATAAAAAATTTTCATTATTTCTGCAAAATTTTCTTATTATTCATTATTCATATCCAGCACATCATTGCCTGCAAGTGTTAAGAGCAAACCAGTCTTCCGCTCTTCCTCTAATTTGTCTGATCTTGTGGCTTTCATATACAACTCAAATTATTATGTAAACTGTTTTCAGGCATTATCAGCATTCTCCTTGATTCTCAAGGGCTTTGGAGAGGTTACTTGCAGTCTCACTGGTTCTGTAGCTGCTCTATAACTCTTTCAATGGATCTTCCAGCACTCTGTGCCTTCCACTTCTGGTACCATGTAGTAAGGTTTGAAATGTAGACACAACTCTTTATTATTTACAGAAACTTGTATACAGTTATTTACAGTACAAACATAATAATTTGCTCTGCCTTTGTGACTGGCCTGTTCCTGTTCTACCACCCAAAAGTTCCTGCTGACCTCACCCAGAGACTCACAGAATATGGACACTGTACGGGCGCTTATCCACATTACACCTATCCTGTTACCATGTTACACTTTTCCTGTGTCCAAGCGACAAAAATTGTCATTAAGCTAGCTAAAGCACATCTGTGTATCCACGTTATCAGCTGATTTTATTGGTTTTAGAGGGGAGGGGTTGTGGCAATTTAAAACACCTCCAACATGTTTTATTTTTAGCTCCTAAATTTCTTCCATGAGGGTTATTTTTATCATTTTAAATTTGTAACATGGATCTGACTTATGCCTGAAAATGTGATTTTCCCTGCTTTGCAACTATTGCACCACCAGGTGCCGCTTGGGTTCACTTGTAAATCCATGGAAATCCATGGAA